GTTTAGTGAGTGGTGAAAATTAACTCAAAATTGACTACTTAACTTAATGTCTGGACTTCTATGAATCACTCATTAGCTTTAATCAAAAGACACATTCCTATCAGTCTTAATCAATTATTCAACAAAAGTCAGCTGACAGTTGCTATGTGCATTCTTTTCTTCCAGCCAAACTTTGGGTACTTTAAATTTCAGGACACCCTCTGCCTGGCCGAGCCGAGCCGAGCGGCCGAGTCGCATCGTATATCGCATCTCCCCCCTCCTCCACCCGCGCGCTTCGGTTGGCTCCTATACAGCTCCCGTGTGCTCCTCCGGAAAAACAACGCCCTGGAGTTTCGTGTTATCTGAAGCCCCCGTCGTATTACTTTTATCTTTGCTTCCTTCGTCTGAAACAAAATATATTCATTTAACATTTTTAGGGCTGAGGCTTTAAAGTGTTTCAGAAGCCCAGTAGCAAGCAATATTCCTTGTCTTATTTTTCATACTCTCTGCAAGCGTCCACATCGCGCATGCGCTTTGGACGTAAACAGGCAGACCAGACCAGTTGAAAATTAGTCGGAATGTGTTTTTAGAGCCGTTTTGGTGTTAATTTACGTGATTTGAACATGTCTGATGGTACTAATGGCGAAGGGAACAGTCTACCTAATGGCCCGTTTACCCGTATCAATTCTAAGAAGAGCTCCAATAATGACGAAAATGATAACGATGAAAGTACCAATCAGCCTGATCTAGGGTTAGGAAATCAACCACAAAATAACAGAAAAAGTACAAATGACTCCCAGCCAGGTAAAGCTTTAATTTCTGTGACATTCGTTTTATTTTCCTTAGATCTTTTGCCCGATTTAATTCCCTATCTTCTAAACGACAAATTTAACTTGTGCACCTGTTCTGTCGCTTTGTTTGACATATTATCTCATTTTGAATTCATATTTTCCAGGTTCAAGTGAAGCGCCCCGCCGTGAAGAAAATCCCTTTTCGTTCAAACACTTCTTGAGCAGGGAAAATGTCAATGGCCAAAGTGGATGCCACAATACTGGAGCCAAACCAAAAGTCTTCACAAGCCCTACTTCGTCCCATGCCCCTGACCTAGAGTATGGACGAAATTCTTCTGCTAGGACTTTTACAGCAAATCCTGACTTAGCTTCAGCTTTACCTGATTTTGTTCAAGATCATTTAGTTGTTGAGCAATGTTTTCTCCGAGACAATGCTTCATCAGCTCTCTCTGTCGATTTGGACAATCTTCCTGACTTTGCTGTGAACAAAGATATCAGTAATGGGTTATCTATGGGTGCTAGGCCTCGTCACACAAATTATAACAACTTCTGTCGAAGAAGAGAAAGAAGTCAGAATGATTCTATGGAGGGAGTGCCCCTTGACCTTCCTAGCGTCTCTAGCCCTCCATCTGCATTAGATCTACCGGGTTCAGGTGTCTTACCATTTGACCTTCCACTGGTTCGAGATGGAAACGCCTCTAATGTGTCTGGAAGTAACACTCCTTCAAGTAGCCCAATTCAGCCTTCTGTGTCAAAAAGTCTTCCTGACTTCCTCTCTGATGGACCAATAAGAGGAGGCCATCTACCCCCTGCAGATGTTACAGCTGAGGCAAGTGGTGTAACTCAAAATCACAATTCAGATGATAGGGTACGTATTGAAGTTCTTCTGTTAAATGATAGAGTCAAAACCACTCTGATACATTGTTTTTCCCCAATCTAGTTCCAGACTGAAAATGAAAGACTGAGAGCAGAAATGGAAATGCTTAGGAGGCAAAACTCAGAACTCTCTCGGAGGTTTGTCATCTTCCAGATTTCTGACCGTTTTGAGCAATTTTCTTGGTATAATTTTATAATCCAAGCATTTATTACAGGGTTTCATCCCTACAATCAGAAGTTCGAACTCTAAGAGTAAAGGAGCATGAAGATACTCTTACTATGGAAAAAGCTATAGAGCAAGCGGAAGAAAATTTACAAAGAACTATGGTTAGTATTTAATGCAGCTGTAGTGGGGTAGTTTGCAGCATATTAGTTCAAATTTGAGTTGTTTGTTTTTCAAAAAATGTGACTACTAACTTATTTTATTTTTTGGTTTATTTCTTTGATATTTTAGAAAAGGGCTGTGAATGCAGAAAATATGGTTTCTAAGCTGAAGCAAGATCTTAGGCAGACTCAGGTATTTCAGCTACTTTCCACTGTACTTATATTACTTGATGCCTTCCACTCAGTTTGATTACATCGTTTTCTTTTCAATGTTTCTGAGGGACTTGAGAAGAGTTTTATCATATGTAATCTTTATGATTTCAGTCTGATTTGAGACGTCAGCAACAAGATAACCTGGAACTTCGAGGTGGAGAGGGTGTGTCAGGTGCATGGGGTGGTGCAGGAGCTTCTAGTGGATCATCAGGTTCCTCTGAGCAACAAGTTCAAATGCAAAGATTTGCCCAAGAATTGAAAGCAGCTGCATTAACGGCGGAAACTTCTCTCCGGTATATTTGATACTGTAGTTAAAGTTTGTAAATAACCTGATTCTTCTAAATCCTGTTAACATCAAACAATTCTCCCTCCAGTCAGCTGCTGTCTGGTGTTGATAACCTTCGTCTTCTGGCTTCAACTATGGAAAGTGTTCATCGGGTCGAAGATAGAACTCAAGATTACTTATCAGATTCTGATGATACTGCAGGGCCTACTCTCTGAAGAGCACACTCATTATTTATAGTTTATACATTATTATTACTAATATATTTACCTACCATAACTTCCTTTTTATGAGTTAGGAGAGTTAAGACGTGATGGTTTGCTAAACACAAAATTTTATTTGGATAGTATTGATAACTCTGTTTCCAAATTTTTACTTGTGAAATTTGTATAAATATTTTCATATATTGTAAGTACATAGCGGATTGTAATATACATTTGCTTCAAAACTGAATGGCATAATAGTTGTTGTAGCATTTTGATGTAAGCAAACATTATTTACTGGTAGTCTTGTCAGTGAATGAGATGAGATGTAGTGAGATGTTTTTATTTTGGCACGTACATTATTAATTTTTCCATCTAATGTTAAGGCGTTGATAACCTGACACATTTTAGGCATGTTTTGTACTTGCTTTTGGGGATCAAATTTTTAGGCTTGTTTATGAGCCTCCAAATTGGATATGTAACTCATCATACTTTCTAGTCCTTAGCTTCTTACTGTGTAACTTAACCTTGGTAAAGTTTATCTGATCTAGAATGGCTCACTGTATGCCTGTCACAGTTGTAGCTCTTTTTCCATGTAGATAGATTTTTCAGGGAATCACTATGTATTAGATGTGCGGAGGACTAGAGTTTGCCAGTAGTAGCCCAATTTATAAAAAAAAGTATTTGTTTTTGTTTTTTTGGTTGTTTTAATAAAATTTTATTTTAAGGAGTGTACATATCTAAATTGAATGGCAAATTTCAGGCAAGTAACAGTTCTTTTTGTTTGTCATTGCTATTGCTTTGGAAGATCAAGGATGTTGTGTTGGCTGTGATCTGTTACAAATGTGATCTATGTATATGCGCTTTGCGTCAACTTTTTGTTTTAAGTAGAGCAATAAAATAAAGGATATGTTAGCAAGAAAATTCATTTTGTACATAATTTTTTTCAATATCTTAATTATTACTTTTGCTAGAAATTGTATTGGAAAGCACAACAATTTATACCCCGAAATGCACCATGCCATCTGGGCCAGCCGCCAAAACCATTGTGAAAAATGTGTGTAGCGCCAAGTAAATGTAGTACTAAGGTACCTACTTGGTGATTAAAAACAAATTATCTTCATGCAAGAAAAGGAGGGCAGTTTAATGCTTAAATTAACACAGTGAAGAATCACACACACTTTGTCTTAGTGCCATATCACAGAATAAAAAATAAAAATGAGTTCAAATTCTCCTTTGCTCCGCAAAAGGTGATGAATGATATCTAGTTCATTATTAAAATGAAGTGAAAAGAAAAATCTACAAACCAAATTGGTAATACAGTACATATTTTCTTTACCCACAATCCAATTAAGGGCTGAGGTGTGCTTGTTCAGCTACACATGAAATCAAAATGTGTCCAGAAACTCAGGCTTGTTCTAGTTCTGCAATATAGTCTTTTAAATCTTCCTCACATGTCTGTGTCTCTATATGGGAAGGTTCACATGTCCAGCATTCATTGTCCATTATTGAGGAACATGCACTGGATATTGCAGTTTGGGTTTCAGCAGAGACAAGTATAGATTCATTGCCCTCTTCTCCATACAAAGGCCATGCTGTTTGAGTTTGAGTATCAGCAAAATCTAGACCAGAAAAGAAAGGATCTTCGGAAGTCTGAGTCCACATGTTGGCATACAACAGGGAATCCAAATCATTCAAGTCGTCAGTAGTTTGAGTTTCACTAGTTGTAAATGAAGCAGGACATTCATCATCAGACGGCTGTCTTAGGAAGAGATGATTAAGATTCTGGTCTGTTTGTGTTACATTGCAAGAAACAAAATTTTCATGAGCAAGACTGCCTAGTTGATTCATGTTTACTTCAGAGTGACCAACTGAATCAAATTCTGATGAGCTGCCTACATCATTATCAAAACTGTCTGAATTGTCTTCAAAGATACCGGAAGAACAGAGGTTTTCATCTTGTCCAAATAGTTCCAAATTTAGATCACTATGAATAGGATCACCTTTAGAAAAACTGTCAGATTGCAAAAGATCATCAGAAGAAGTAGTAGTTTGAGTACTTGATGTGTTTTTATCAGTAATCCACAGATCAGGAAGACCCACATCCTTTTTCAAAGAGAATGGTACACATGGTGAAAGAGACATTGCATCCAAACTCTGTTCAAGGACTGGTTCATTGACTTTTGTAAGAACTTTTGAACATTTCTTCACTGCAGTTTGGGTTCCAGAATTGTTTTTCCTTTTACGAGGAGCATTTGGGAGATAAAATGAACTCTCAGAGTCACTGATTAAAATATCTGCATCTGCCATGGCTTTTTTGAGAATGTAGTCACCCATGGTTTGAGTTTCTGCAGTCTTTTTCAAGTGATGAGTTTTAAGTGTTACACCTGTCTGTGTGTGAGCAGATGTACGTCGTCTCAAAGCTTTTTCAGTTGCTTTGTTTGGACTATTTCTCTTGCGCCTTGGTTCTAATGGGTCAGTCTGCATACTTTTATCATGTACTATGGAACAGGATAACTCAGTTAAGGATGGTGCTGCCAAAACATTCAATGCTACTGTTGCAATTTGGTCATTAGTTGGTTTCGGTAATATATACACAGGCTGTACATCTAAATTGGGACATTGGGAGTCCTTTTTGAGAGGAACTTCAACAGTGCCCTCAGACTTGGACCTCCTGCAATAATTTAAAAGGATTAGGGTCGATGGTGAAATTTTGTAAACATTAATAAACACAGGCAAATACTTACTTGTGGCCTAACTTATATTTATATTCAAAAGTATGCTGCTTCCTCTTGCAATGAGTAAGGAGAGCTTCATAAGAACTGTATGAGTTGAGACATGAACATGTAAACTTAATACCGCACACTTGAGAATGGTTCTTTAATAACTCTTGGGTGGCAAACGCTTTGTTGCATGAATCACAGCTGAACCTCTTCTCACTGTGAACTTTAAGATAATGCTGCAACAAAAATTATTTTAGAGGAAAACTGACTCACCACAGATTACAGGTACAAAACAAAATGGAAAGCAGAAAAGCACCTGTTTGAGATATTTCATTTGGGCAAAATGACGGCTAGCATTGACATGATAAATGCATTTCTCCTCCGGACAAAAGTATCGAACTGTTATACTTGAATCACGTTTTGCAAGACATGAATTGCGATGGTGTTTTGTTAGATGCATATTTAATGCTGATGAAGCTTTGAACACTTTTCCACACCCCTCCTCTGGGCAAATAATGTTGCTATTTATCACTGAGAGTTCTGATGCCAGAGGGCAGACATCCATGCACGCCATCTCTTTCTGAAACATAAAAAAATAAAAATAATGAAAGCATTGTGCACTGACATACATGATAAGTACGAAGAGATTTAAGCATGATTGATTAGTTCATATTAATATAAGATCCAAATATTGATGGTCAAGCAGAGCTCTTTGCAGTGCAAGTGACAGAATATTAACCAAAGTAAAAGTTGAAAACAAGGAAACTAAAATTTCTACCCACCAGAGTTGTCAAAAATTCAAAACCGAATGTAAAATAATAAAAACAGAAACGAACATCACTGAGTGTTCTTGGTGTGTGGGTACTTACATATCGTGGTGTGGTTCTGTGACTATGGTAAATGGGATGGAGGTTAAACTGAAAATCTGAGAAAGAGATATGAGACGGCTGTGAATCACTTCAAATCGCACCACTCTATTCTCTTTTGAGTTTTTCTCGCAAAATTCAACATCTTTTCGGAGAGCAGAATGGTGTTAGAAGAAACCATAGCAACCATGTACCACCTGATTCAACACCACTCACCACACCAACTTTATGAACCAACATAACACTTTTATTTTCGAAGTGAAGACTGTACACAGGGCACTGACTAGTGTAAAATAACAAGAAAATGTATTTTCTGATATTATTGCGACATCTGCATATACTTTTAGATCCAAAAATAATGAAACACTGCGGGTTTTGAGAAAATTGTTGGGTTGTGGTGTTGGCTAAATATAGTTCGGCGGTCAACAACAGATGTCGCATTTGCCCAAATAATTGCATTGGTTTCATTTGAACCTCATTTTACTAAAAGAAAGAGTTCGAGCAAGAACAAACACCATATTACTTCGTCTTGAACACGCACGCTCATTTTCTTTTTTGTTGATTCTCTTGAAGGCGATATTCAATACAGAACCCTGGACGGGACCCACCCGGTCCCACAGCCACCAATGGACACATAGTAGTGGGGTGGGAGGGGAGGGG